TATTTCATTATTTAAAAATGAAAATATTACTTTCACAAATAAAAATGTATATAAACGAGTATATTTTCGTGTTAGCTGAAAATTAGTAAAACAGTAGTAGTAGTAGATGCAAATATTGGAATGCAAAATTTTAAAATTTAAATATATTAATTTTTTATACATATCACAGCATTCATTAAAAAAATTCAAAATATTCACTCAAAAATATGAACGATAGTATGTTTTTGTCACTAATAGAGTGCATTGAACTCAAACTTATTTTTTATTTACAGTAATTTAGGACAAAAATTATGTTATGCCTCAATGTTTACAGTTTTGAAATTTTGGTTATCTGAATATAATTTTCAATATTTTAACAAGATACTTGATTCTAAACTTTGTGATATTCTACTTCATCTGAATTAAAATTTAAAATTTAACTAAATTACTTTTTTACAAACATAATTTACCACTTGATTAAAAGATTAAAATTTTATACAGTTAAGAAAAAAATACTGTATTTTTTTTTTACAAATTAGTAAATGATAGTGAGTAGAGAAAAACCAATATTTTTATTACATATTCATTATTATACACTTTCTGGTGCTATTACTTTAACTATATCACATTTTTCAGTTGATTGTAAAAAACACAACAAGATTTTAAAAAATTACACACAAATAAAACTTTGGAGCCTATTCACAAAATAATAATTGTTTTTCCGAACACAGGTTCTTCATTCTCAAGACTTGAAACTATACACATTCCTTGTTTGTAAGCTGTTCTTGGAACTAGTACTTTTCAAGGGTGAAAAGACTGTTTATAACCTTCTGGAATTCTGGTAATTTCGGCAGAATAAATATTTTTATCAATAGGTTCGACGCTGGTTATAGAAATATTTTTTCCTAAGTCTCCTTCTTGATTAAAAGCATTGAAGTTGTTGGTGCCTTTGTGCTAATGAAAGAAGATTAAAAATATTATAATTTATGCAAATAAAATGTACAGAAGAAACAAAATTTGAATCCATATTTTTTTAAACATAAAAGGATCAATCAAAGCAAGTGATATTTTAATTACTGTCATGTCATGTCAAAACCATGTAACTCCCTTTAAATTTCTTTTTTTTTGTTTTTATTTTATTTTTTATTATATTTTTAATGTGTTTTTCGATATTTGAAGGGACCTAATTATAAAAAAAGCTTTTTTCCTTCGGGAAATAGCGTATAAAGGGAAGAAGAAAAAAGGAAAAATTCTGGATAATTTATTTATTTCTATTTTATTTTATATTATTTTTTTAACTTATTTTTCAATATTTTCGTTAATTTAGCGTGAATAAGGTGTTCTATATATAAAAACAGTACTTTCATACACAAAAGAAGTTTTTGTACATTATAAAATGCTCAACAACTTTTCATACTAGAAAAAATTTTCTTCATGCACCGTGAATGTATGTAAAAAGGAAATGTGCATAAAATATGTAGAAATGAGTGTTATGTGTATAAAAAAAGAAACATTCTCACAGATAAATTTGTTTTTGTGGGGAGGGAAGTTACAGACCATATCAATTTTCACCTATGAAAAGGTACCCCATCATAGAATCGAGTTAACATGTCTTATGTACTAGTGAATGAGAATTGTACTTTTGTAGTGGTAGATACACTATAGTTGTAATAAACCCTCTCTTGTTTAGACTAAGGAAAACCTTGTTAATGTATATTATAAGAGCCGGGATGGCTCAGGGGATAGAGAGTTCGCCGTCCAATGAGGTGGACTAGGTTCGAATTCCTGCGATGGCTGGTCGATACGAATTCAGCATACGGCTTGAACCAAATACAGTGCTGACGTTAAATATTCTCAGTGGCAGACTGATGACATAGAGTTCCTTGTCGTGAGGCTTATCGTGGGAGGTTTTCGCAGCTTTCCTCTCCATGTAACACAAACGCGTGTTAGTTCCATCTAAAAGTCTTCCACTAAGGCATATTTCTCCCAAAACTTGATCCAAGAGTTCCCTTGTTTTCTGGATTGAGTTCAAAACTACAAGACTACGGAGCTGTAGTTGTGACATTGTAGTTGTAAACACAAAAAATTGAGTCGGCTGTTCAACGAAGGTTATAAAATAAAGTAAAATGTATATTTGTATATTATGAACAGCTGACCCAATTCTGAGTTATCAGGAATCAATAACAAGCTTAAGCCCGTCCCGCCCCCGTAAGGGGGCATCCGGGGGCACTCCGAAAGTTCGAAATGAGCGTAACAGTTCAATTACATGCGCAAACATATTCAAAATTTTCAAATTAGAGTTTTAACAAATAGGTGGAATATTAAATATGAAATCCAGAAAACGGTGCTACTTAGAAATAAACTAAGGAAACAAACATTACAAAGAAAATAAACAGTAACAATCAGAAGAGATAGTGATGTCGCATCTTCAGTAGGGGTGCAAAGTTAATAAACGGAAACAATTTCACATGAAAAATATAGGATGTTTGTAACTCAGAATATAATTATGGCTGGCACAACAGTACTAAAGTTATCAAATTCCAGTAATTATTATTGTTATTTTTTTTTAAACAGAAAGGACACATATATACCATATATAAAAACTCTAGGAACACAAGTGATTAAAATTTTCAAAATGAGGAATCACATAGGGGCAGAGATTGACAAAGCATGAGACTAAAGCACCAAAAAAAAAACATTAAGAGAAAATTCAAGTAATAATCAAACCATAACAGGTAAATTAATAAGCCGTGATTTAGGTGTATTTTTCCTAACAAGAGGCAGCAAAAGGCCATCAGGATTCAGGGAGGTGCCTTGTTACTAAACAATTTTCTTATTATTTCCTCAATTCCCTTTTTTATTTTAGGGTTTGACCAATGCTGCTTTATAAACTCGTAGGTGGTTTTTCAATGAAAAAATTTCTCTCTAATGTGCTTAAAATTTGTACACTGGATTAAAATATGTTCCCAATCCTCAACAAGCTGACAGGTACTACACAGCTGAGCTCCCCCAAAAAACCTGGCTTGATGTTGTCCATGACATCCGTGATTAGTTAGGAATTGATTTAAAAAGAAATTCCCCATGATTTTCCTCGTTTGAACTTTCGGGAGGAGCTCGAATGTGTGCCTTCCCTTTGTGAAGCTGTCACTCCATCTCTCCTGCCATTCAATCAATTTTTCGCGTTCCAAAGTTTTTCTTGCAGTCCGCCTGCTAGGATCTTCAAACAGGTCGACCGTTGATCTCTCACAGGCTAATTTGGCTAACCTATCAGCTTCTTCGTTTTATCAGGAATCAATGCTTGATTCCGTAGCCTTGTAATTTTGATCCCAACCCAGAAGACAAGGAAACTCCTGGATCATGCATCGGGAGAAACTAGCTTTCGTGGAGGAGTTTTTGAGGGAACTAACCCACATTACCCGAACAGGAAAACTTGATATGGTTAGCACTTCGGAGAGGGGATTATAACCCATGTTCCGTCAACCACTGATGATATATTACGTCAGAACAGTGACCGTTTCTAGAAGAATTCGTATCAACCAGCCGCCGCTGAGATTTGAACCTGGGCCAGAGCATTGGGAAGTGAACTCTCTATCCGCTGAGCCACTGCGGCTCCTCATTGATGTATTTTATAATGAGAAAAATTTTTTTTATTTCAAGCACTCAATTACGCCTCACTTTATTGATGCATTTCATTTTTTATTACATAACTGTCGTTGAACAGCCGGCACATTTTTTTGAGTTTAAGACTACTAATGCTCAATTTCATAGCTTTGTAACTTTGAACTCCAGTCAGAAGACAAAGGAACTCCTATATCAATTACGGAAAGAAATTTACCTAGTGAGGAACTTTTTGATGGAACTAACCCCAATTTGCGCTACACGGAGAAGAAAAACATGAAAAACCCCCATGGTTAGCCTGATGGCAAAAAGATTCTAACTCATGATCCGTCTACTACTGAGGATATTTAGCGTCATCACTGTGGTCATTGTGCGGCGACTGCGGAAATCGTATCCACCAGCCATTGCTCAGATTCGAACCCGGGTCAACTCATTAAGAGGCAAGCTCTCTATTCCCTGAGCCACCAATTACTGGTGTACTTTATTTTATTTTATAACGGTCGTTGAACAGCCGACCCAATTTTGGGTTTACGACTACTAATGTTCAACTCCGTAGCCTTGTAATTTTGAACCAATCCAGAAGACAAGGAAACTCCTGGATCAGTACTCCCAGAGGTATTGATTTGTTATAGGAACATGGAGGACTTTGAGACTCGACAGATTTAACGTGCATCAGTCACCATTTACTGCACGGGGAGTCTTCGGTCGGCGAGGATCAAACCCACAACCTCTTGGACATGAGCCCAGTGCCCTACTAACCAGGCTATCCCGGCCTTTACTGGTGTATTGCATGTAATAAATCCTTTAAATGGAAATCTGATTTAAGTGGTTTTTCTCTTGTTCATATTCAAGTTAAGCCAATCTTAAGATAACACCCTCTAACATTGAAATATCAAAATGTTTAAGAAAAAACTCCATTAACGAGTTTTTTGTGATTCTGATGAAGTAGGTAGCAAAGTAAAAAGCTAGAACTAAAGGAAATACTTCGAGAGAAATTTGAACATGTTATATTTTAGTCAATAACAAGGGTATTCAATAACAAAAAATTGGAAAAAACACTTAATTTCCAAAATCGTGACATAATCATCTCTTTTAATAAAATGCGTTACGTTTTCCACTACACGATTTAAATGTGTAGTAAAATATTTTTTTCTCGTATCGACTTCTGATTTATGTTAGAATTTTTTAAAGTGGTAAAGTATTTCGCAACTTATTTTAATACACTTCAAGAAAATCAAGATGTTAAAAAATACTATGTGGCATTTAAGTTCACACTTTTTTAATTAGCGAATTTCGAATTGGCGACTTTTGAATTGGCGACTTTAGTTCGGCAAGTTCTAACTAGCAGACAGAAACAATATTAGATTATAACAACCCTAGAAAACCTTTTCAGTCTTCTCTCTCGTCTAGTAGAATGAAAGTAAATTTTAAAGAAATCCTAATTTCTTGTTCGTTTGTCAAGAGTTTGAATTTTCGATAGGACTGGCGTAATCTATAATGTAAGTTTTCATTTTTGTTAATACATTTATTAAAGATGTTTATGTATGTATTTCTATTCGTTTTTTTTTCATTTATTTTAGCATGATTTTATCAATAGTTATGTTTTCAGTTCTTTTGAATACCAATGAATTTCGTTTTTTTTAAAATTGCTGGAATTGTATTTTACAAGAATATGTATTAAATGGTTTACAAATATTGACTGTTTTAAAGTTATTTTAGGAAGGTTAGATGTTTAAACATACATGTTTAAATTTGTTTAAGGATGTTATTTTCTACTATTATAAATAATAATCGTAATCTTCCTAAATAATCGTCTGCTTTAAGAAGCAATTTACGATTTTTTGTTCTATATTGTGGGTGCTAGTAAAAACAGCTGTTTGAAAAAGCAGGTGAAGTAAATATCAGTCTATTTTTTTTGAAAGGGTATAAGAGGTTGTTGATTACTAATTAAGAATTCGGTGATGCATCCATTTTCTGGAATGTACTCTTCCATAAGTTTGATCTTTCAAAACAAGATCGTTTGTTTCATTAAAAATTTGAATTTTAATCTTTTAAAATCCTTCCCTAATTCTTTTAAAAAGTTTATCTTTTTCTTCTCTCTATTTTTTTTAAAAATTGCATGTTTTAAAGATAAATGGAATATTTTTATTTTAAGATGAAAGAAAAATTATTTATTGAAATTGTATTATTAATAATAATGTTTCGTAATAAAACATAATTTTATTTTACGAAATTCTTGTTACTTTTTACTAACCAGTCATTTTCACCGGTATACTTATTAATTTTATCTGGATAAAATATTTGTTAGTAGATGTTTTGAATTCAGATGTTAATTCAAAACCAATCAGTTCATTAATAACAATAATAATAGCAGAAGGATGAAATAAAATCCTATCTTTTCAACATAGTAAATATCGTATTAAAAAATAATTTATTTCAATTAAACTCTTTTAAGGTCATTACCACACAGTAATTTATACTTATTTTTTTTATAAAAAGAAGTTTATAATTACGTAATTCAAACGAACATATTTAATATTTTTTGTTTAAGTAATTGCATATTATTGATTAATTTGATTCGTATGCTCCTAAATGTCAGTTGTCATAATTTTCTAAAAATCAAAGTAAATAATTGTCGTCTTTTTTATATTTATTTTTAAATACATACTTTCGTTTTAAAATGCCTTTCTTCTTAATTTTGAATACATTATTTTTGAGTAAAAAATGCTATAAAAATTGCTGTCTTTTAAAATTAAGTTTTCTTGTATTTGTTATATTTAAGAAATGATTATAATTCATCAAAAATAAAGCTTCCTTTTTTCCGAAACTGTAAAAGTCCATAATTTCATATAATATGCGGCATCTGTGTTTTCAAATCTATTTTTCACTTCAAATCTGGTCTAATTCTAATGAATATAGAGCAAGAAATACCGAAACAATTAATGGAACCTGAAAGACTCAAAATGTTGACCTATCATTTTTGCCAAATCTTCAAGAAGAATGATTTTAGTCTCGGTTGTTTCCTGTATCAAAGGATTTAATTAGAGCTGACATTTATGTTTAGTGTTTAATATAAGCAAAATTAGTTTTATAAAGGATTTAACAAGGACTGAAATTTATGCGTAGTGTTTAATATAACAGGGTGCGTAGCGTTTTTAAAAAGTGCTTAAAGGTGCTTATTTTCGATTTACGTTTTTTAAAAGCCCTTAAAGGTGCTGTTTTCATTGGGTGTTTTTAAAAAGAGCTTAATTTTCCCTTTTTCAAAATTAGATCTTTCCTATACTTTGTTGATTTTCACTTCGAATTATGCAAAAAGACACAGTTAATATTGTTCTTTCTATTCAACGTTTTCATAATTCAACCCCTATCTATTTCGGCGTATAGTCAGTCCGTAGCGTAGGAAAACGTCATTCGTTTTACATAATTCAAAATTTCATGATTTTTGACAATTGTCAAAAACAATGCCAAAAGGTTTTTTTTTTTTTCATGACGTTTAAAACAATATAAAACTGTCGATTGTCAAAATCTTTCCAACCCTGCCTAATTATGATATTTTTTTAAAGTGCTTAAAAATATTTTTTGAGTGCTTGAAAAGTGCTTAAAAGGTGCTTATTTTTTGTTGGATTATTTGGCTACGCACCCTGTATAATCAAAATCAGTTTTATAACTCCTTTAAAATCTTGCAATTTTTTAGCGAATAGAAAATTCGTCACGGGTGGTGGAAACGCAAAATGTATGATTAAATCTGCACTCAAATAGTTTCGAATGCAAACTCACTCTCCAAATTTAAAATCCTAAATGAAAATTTGGATTACTTTATGTTCTCGGATGTTTCTCGTTGGATTCTCGTCATGCAAAGTTGAGTTGAAAATTTCCATTTTGTTATAAATTTTTTTATAATTTTGCCGTTGTAATTCAGCAGCTAATTTTCTGGCTATGGATTTTCTTTCAGTTCTTCTTTTTTTGTAAATTCTAAGGGTTTAACTTAGGAGCATTTCCTTGTTAGAAATCGTTGACTATTTATTTAAAGGTATGCCATGCATTTTATGCTATCTATCGATATTTTTTTAAGAAGAGGTACGCTGAAAAAACATGTTAATGCTTAACATTTAAGAACAATCTTAAGTATTTAAGAAATAGCTCTGGAACTTATCTTGGCAATAATTAAAAAAAAAATTCTTTTGTGAGCCGTAACGTATTTTGATGAGTATTGATTAGAAGGAGCATGTAGTGAAAATCTCAATATCGACGTTTTAATCCTTAAAAATCAAAATGTCTTTTTCATGTGCTTTGAGAAAAAGTAAAAATATTTATTCAAATATTAAAAAATGCTAATAAGAAAAACCCTTATGAAAAGGATGTTCTAAAATTAATTAAGGGGTCCAAACTTTCGACCCCTCTCCAGCCGAAACATTATGTCTCCCTGTAGATTTAAGAGAAGCTATTGTGAACATATTTTATAGATTACTGCTAAAACCCATATTTTGAGGATAGCGAGTTCGAATACATAGAAAAAAATACATTTATTTTTAGAAAAAGTAAGTTATCGTGTTTAAGATTACACCTTAAGGTTACACCTACAGTTATCATATTTAAGATTACACCTTCGAATCGTATTAAGTGACTCTTAGTACGTGAAAATCCAGTCATTAGATCAAAAGTATTCAGGTTGTTCACTTTTTATTTCGCCCTCTGTGTATTTTTTCATAACATTTTCCACTTTTTTGGAGCTAATCGATGCGTGCAGTTGACTGCCCATGCATTAAGTATCTGTATTTTTTAACGAACAAATATTATTTTTTCCCCCGGAGATATTGAAAAAGTTTGGTAAATATTTGGTAGGAGCTTAGTTTTGAAACCCACTCTCATGCTGCCTTCTTTTTTAATCTTTCTCTCCTAGAGTTGTAAAAATAAATTATTTCTAGAACCAAATCAAAAAAGTTTTGTCTATTATTTTACTGTTATTTTTGAGTTTTCTTAAGTTAAAAATTAATTTTTTTTCTGAATAGCTGGCAGGTGGAATATCCCAGATCATGTTAAAATATCTAACATTGCAAACTTTTCTTTGAAAATACAATTCTATTTGCAAAGACTTTTTGTTTTGATATCATTATGTTCTGAAACCTGACGAAAAATATGAACATTAACTATGTTAAGTAATGAAGAAACATTTGAATATGAATTTAATGGAAAGAAACTTTAAATGCGCAACCAAAGAGAAGAGCAAGTTAATTCATAGCCACCGAGAGTCAAGGTCTCTCAGTAGATTTGTGACGTCATCCTCTGAGAACCATAAGATAATGCGGTATTCAGATTCTTATTAACCCCTTAACGATCGGTTAATTTTCAAGAATACGGTCATAAAAGTGCCTATTTTTTTGGCTTTTGTATTTGTATTACGTATTTGATTAGTGCTGCAACTAGTTTAAAATAAACTATCTACAATTACCTTAAAAATATCCTGGTACTGCCATCAGGTGTGTAAAATGAGAAATGAAATGTTTTCCAGGCAAAAGAAATGAATTAGTTTTATTCTTATTGGCGCGTTACTACTGAACACTCCAGCCCGTCAATATCACGGGAGCGAGAAATAGCAGGCGAAATCTCACCCCGTCATTTTCACGGGAGCGAGAAGGAAGGGGTTAATAATAACAGCTAGCAAATGTGATAAATTCTGATAAATTATTCATTTTAACCGCATTTTATCATACTTGAATAAGATGGTGAAGATGATATTCCAAAGAAGGATTAAAATTTTTGAATTGATAATTGAAGAATTCTTTCAAAGATGACAACTAGAAAAGTGTTGAGTTCTTAAAATCGTCTGTTGCAAAGAAAAAATTAAACTTTCTACACGAGACACTCCTTACACAGATGATATAAAAGACACTCAATAAAAAACCTTGGAAATTTGTTTCCTGAACAACAGTTATTATTTTGGAACAATTTAAAATCATTTGAAACATCCAAAGATTTAATTAATCGCTGATCAAGTAACTTCGTGCAATTATATGCAATAATATAAGTATAATTAAATAAAATTTTCTTCATAAAGTACCGTTTTATCTTTTTTTTTATAACTTAGGGATAAAAATGTTAAAAAATGCAAAGCAAATAATAAAAATATTGGAAACAAATACAAGAAACGTATTAAAAAACTCTTGAAAATAAATAAGTGAAAAACACACAAAAAAAATATATATCACATCGTTGCAAAAACTTGCTGCGCACGCGCAATTCATAAAGAGGTGAAATATGATGCCGTTTGATTTGGCGAGATTTATTCAAGTTCATTTAAAACAGTGTTTCTTAACCTTTTTGGTATAATGGACCCTTTTAAAAATTTTTACGAAGTCACGGACCAGCCCCTGGGAAAAAAATTATTGCAAAAAACATCAAGTATCAGAAAACATTTAATTTTATTATTTTAATAGTCTACGAAATTTTTAATGTGAAGGTTGCTGCTGCTTTTCTTTAATTAATAAATTGGATTAGGGGATGGTATTCGACAAAGCAACGCGCATATCGTGTTCAACATTCAATCGATTTCGATGTTTTGATTTTATTGTCACAAGTGTGGAAAATCCCGCTTCGCAAAAATTCACTGTAGCTCGCTTTACAAGCAAAGGGTAGGCTTCCAAACATTTTAAAAATTAGGAGTAGTCAGCGGACCCCCAAAATATGACTCATGGACCCCTTAGGGGTCCATGAACCACAGGTTAAGAAACCCTGATTTAAAACATTTCCTTTCTTCTTTTTTTTTCTCGTACTGTGGTAAATAATAAGTTCGAATTTGAGACATTTTTATTGTTTAGTTAAGTTCGAGTGTAAGTAATTTTTCTTATTAGCTTTAGTTATATTTCTTTCATTTTCCTTCTGTCTCTTGTTATGAATTTTGTTTAACACTTAAAACACATTTTTTATACAATAGCGACAATTTTCAGAGGCGTGACAGTATGGATATCTCGAATCTTTTAGTTTTTGCTTATTCCAAACGATTTTTTAATGTTTTCAGATAATTGTAAAGAATTAATGTATTTTGTGTCGAAAATAAATGCAGAAAATTTAAGGCATTTCCAAAACTAAGTATATTTAAATAGAGTTTGTAAGTAAATTTTCATTTTTATCGAATTTAGCTTTGCTTAGCGGTTTATTATTTATCCTTCGTAGTAATTTTTAATGTCATTGAAACTTATTGATCTAAGACTATTTGATTCTGCATTTTTGAGTTTTTTCCTCCTTATTATGGGAACTTCAAAATTAATGTGCGTAACTCATTAGGTCTCCAATTTTGTTCCATATTAATTTTCCTTATCTTAACATGCCTACTATAAAAAGTTAATAAGCTTCTAAAATTTATATCGTTTGTATTAGGCTGGAATCTTGAAAACTTCGACTTTTCTCTGACGAGCACTCAGAATTTAACAGGTACTTCTTGCTAAATGGACAGTTTTGATCATTTTTCTGATCGCTAAAAGCAGCATTTATCGTCAATCGAAATATCGTCATCTTTCCGATTAGCTAGAATCTCAACTGGAGCTTTGTCACAAAATTGACAATGTATGTGCTGCAAAATCCCTTAAATCCTCAAGCAAATGTCACCTTAATTTTATTGCTAGATAGAATTTTTCTTACCAAATTAAATTGTCCACTTTTCGCCTAGCTAGAGTTCTTAAATTTTAAATGGTGCTCTGACCTTGGCTACAGCAAGTAACTATTGTTTTTTTTTTTAATTTGTAAGCTAAAGCTTATCTCCATTGTTATCCAAAATAGAAATTTTAACCACTTTCTGACGTAAACTCAAACAATAATGAAAAGAAAAGTTATAAAATGTAAAGTTTTTAATATTTTTAAAGAAGAAAGTAATTCCATTGTAATAAATGCTAATACCCAAAATTACCCCTTCCCGTCTTTCAGAACATTTAGCCCTACATTTATGGTTTTAATTAAGGCAAAGATGAATTGTTTTCTTCTTTCGCTCAACTTCGACTTAAAAAACGTAATTTTTAAAATTTTAATTTTATTTATTATGAAATCTCTTTTTATGTGTCCAAGTATAGTAGTACATTTGATGAAAATTGTTGTTTTTATTTTAGAATACAGCTTCTATTATAGTTCTCAAATTTGAAGTAACTAATTTAAAGTGAAATTTTTTTTTTCTATCTGCTTAATCGATGTTTCCGATCTGAAGCATAGAAAATGACATTTTGGCAATGCATTGTCTTATAAAATTTAAAAAGTACAAATAAATCAAGAAACCTTTTAATTTAATGATACAAAGGTTTCACGGTAAAATGAATTTGGTGATTTAAAAACGAAATTTATAATCCTTAGTACGTGAAGTTGAATTTGGCGATTAAATAATTAATACGACGGTGTTCTTTTTATTGAGTGGTAACCGGTTCAAATGCAAGTTTTAAATAAAATATTGTTCGCCTATTTTTGTAGACTCCTGATCGAATTTTATTCTGGGTATCCTAACCTTAATATTTTATTCTAACCTTAATATTGTATGTTTAACTGGGAGACTCAATTTTCCAAAATGTTTTTTCTATAATTAATTCTATTAAAGAAGTTTAAAATTGATTATGAGAAAAACCATTCTAAAATCAAACTTATTATATCTTATTTTCCCTTAAAACATGATGTTATAATGATTAATATAATAAATTTTTTAAAATAATATTATCTTAAAATTTAAATAACATCCTTTTTAAACTAAGAATAATATTTTTATAAAAATTTAGAAGAAAAATCATTATCAATATGCTTATAACGCAAAAAAAGGTGGAAAGGAAAAAGCGGCCACCAATAAATCTACCTCTAGTGGTCAGTGGTCACCCGATAAATTTCACAATCTTGCCCCTTATCGGTGGATTTTATTTTTCTTCTATAGTAATTTAACATTTTTTCTTATCCAGGATTACGCGGATTATATTTACTTTGATTTGACAAAACTATTTAACTTGAATATTGTTATTTTAGAAAAATCTTTAAATATGTTTGTTACAAATCTTTTAAAAGTAAATACCTACAATGACTTTGAAAATAACTTCATTTTTTAAAGTAAGATTAAATTTTTATTCCTCTCCTTTTCCTTACTAAGATTTTTATTTTGAAAAAATTACTACAGAAATGTTTTGAGAGAGGAATTATTAATCTATAGCTCTAAATTAAATTTAAGCGCTCTAGTCAATCTGAAAGTTGACGACTTTCCATCCTCACAGGCACGGAAACTAGTTAACTAAAAGGTAGTAAAAAAATGATTCTGTAAAAAAAAAAACTTGAACAAAATTTAGAATTTTAGATCAAAAAGAAATTTATATAGATTTGAGAAGAAATTTAGATAGGTATTGTTTTATTCGAAACAACAGTTTAAAAATTGGAGATAAAAAATAACGATTTCGAAAATCGTAAACCTATACAAAATCTTTTGTTTAAATAAAATACATAGCTCATGGACTGCAATAGTGGCACAACTCAAAAAAACAATACTTTTGACTAAGAACAGGTGTAAATATGAAAATACACATTCTTTTCAGCAGCAATACTAGCACAACTTATTATTCAACGTGAAGATAATCTTTGTTTAAGCAAACTAAAGCATTTCTTATGCATTAGCAACGAAACTTTAAACCCACTTATCTCAAAACATGATTTTTTGAGTTGTGCCGCTTTATCAGCCCATGAGAGACATTATTATGTTTTCGACCATAAAATTGAAATTAGAAATAAAATGTTTCGTTTCTATGTGTGATCTTTGTCAGCAATTTTTAAAATAACAAAGCATTTTCAACATATTTTAATACTCTTTAGAAAAACCAAAATGTAAAAATTGTAAGTAACATTAAATTCAAGTTTTATTAATCGGGGATTATAATTTGGCGACTTTAGATTGGGACATTGCAAATGTGAAATTGCATTATTAAGATTATAGCAACTCTGGAAAATCAAAACTGAATTGAAATATTTTTTAAAAAATGGATAAGAAGTATTCTCTCTCCCAGTGGAGTAAATTGTATTCACTTCTAGAAATGCTAGCAAAAAAAAATTGAAATCTGCGTTTATTACTTCAAGTTTTTTTAAGATTATATTTTTAAAAAATTGAGAAGATTGAAATTAATGGATTTAGCAAGTAAGTTTCAATTTTACATTTTATAATGCTTGCACAGTGGGGAAAATGTTATTTATAAAGGGCCACATA